TTCCTCGGGCCAGATGCTCAGTGAAGCACAGCCGACACTTTTCATCGTTTCTCATTTTGAGTTTTTTCACACACTTTGAGTGAACAGGCAAGTATGCAAATCACTTCCTCTTGTTTAGTTCAGAGCCCTTTTTCTATTTGAGTCTTAGGGATGAAGAAAACAAAAGCATGTTAATGAAATACACACACACACACACACGCACACACACACAAAGGCCATGGGTAAAATGGCACTCATATCCGCAGGTAACACACAGCTTTGTTTATTGCACATGTGACAGAAGTTCAGCGCCCCCCTTAGCGAGGCGTTCAATGGTCGTGTTTACCGTTATTTCTGCATGTCACCCTCAAGGGGCATCGCTGATGAGGCTGCCTGCGGGACACTGCAATGCATTGTGGGTGAGTGTGTTTATTTGCGGAGTCAGTACGAGTGCTCTGAGAATAAATCCTGCATATTTATAAATCATCCTCCATGATGAACCGGCACAGAAGTGGACGTTTGAGTCGGAGAAATAATCGAACGCTGTTGATTCTTCTTGAGGGATTGGAAATGTAGTCCAGCAACTTTAGATTTCTCAAGGTCTAGGAGATATAAATATTTCACTTATAAATATTTATACTAATGATGCGGCATCGGTTTCGCCTGAAGAAACACATTAGTCAGTGATCTGCGCTTCCTTCACTGCAACGCTTACTATTATAATAAAGTGCAAGGCAGTGCTTTAGAGCTCACTGGATTCCACTTGATCAGCAATGAGGCGATGCAGCGCTTTATGAGGGAGGTGTAACGGTGAAATATTCATGGTGGGCTGAATTGACTTTTTGGGGGGATTTAATTAAGAAGAGAAACACCATACTGTAAGAAGACCTCAGATCCTTAACGTTTTACTATGTAGAAAATACAAATTGAAAGAAGTACTCTGCTTATTATCTATGATTTGATAAGGATTGCATTATTTTCTGCTGATTGAGTGACTTTTGATCTGAAGACAGGCTTTTATTTAGGAACTTCTGTACAGGAAGTGAAGCATTGTGTCTTGTTTGAAGATTTAAAAGTGGTTTATTTTGGGCGTATAAAGGGAGGGGTAGTCCTAAATGAATTTACCTGGAAATTGGTGTGATTTTAGGTCAAATGTAAGAATCAGAGTAATGTATTCATCTCGGGGGAATTTGGGTTTCTTGAGAGTCGAATTAAATAAATTCAATATAAATTGAAAAAGAATCAACATAATAAGTTAAAGTAAAATATCAAATAAAGAAATGTTTAAAAGTAATACAAATATTTGTTTAAACATAAGAAGTAAAAGTTAAATGTACCATAAAAGCAAAAAAATATATAAAATGAAATGAAAATATTCAATATTCAAAGCAACATATGCTTTGGTGTGTTAGTATTTATAAGACATACATGCAAAATGGCGCAGTTTAAAAAGGAGGTAATGGGTTATTTCTGCTCCAATTATTCCACGTTTTGCATTTAAAGTATTGAAAAGCCTCCAAAAAACGTTCAATTGTTACCCTAATTTGCATTTGTTCATGTCCAGACAGAACGTCGCGTAATGAACAGAGAGAAACGGCAGTAAACAACAAATTCACACTTTTATTATTATTGATTTATAGATACCAGGGACGCTTTTCATTACCAAAGTTATAGAAAGTTTGCAATCTGAGAAACACTGAGGCGAGAGCAACGTTTCCAGCTCAGTGGGTGGGTGTGAAGATTTCAATCAAGCTCCGGCTAAACACCAAGTTAAACAGAGACGAAGTGTAAAGCTTACCCAGCCTCTTGGGAAGCATGTTGTGCTACATATGTGTGGGAAAATGTGGCTGAGCGACATCTGTAATTGGCGCGAGCAAAAAACGATGAGGCTGGACGATATTTGTCATCGAGTGTCGCTAATTAATTTCAGTCAGAAGTGCTTTGCTGTGGCTTTAATAATAGATTTCTTATCATCAGAGGGTTGATATGTACAAACCTTTGTAGCGGTGTGCTAGCAGTGTGTGCTAACGGAAACATACATCTCTCCGGTTGATAAGCCACATAATAATATTGTGTTGACCCTTTTTACTTAATCATATTAATATCAATTATCATTCCTGCACCTATTGTAAGACTTAGGATGGAACAAGTTTAGTACAATCAATATTTTAAGCCCTGAAATGAAATATTAATACCCTAAATAATAAACTCTCAGCCTGTTATCCGTTGGATTTTCCCAGCAGAGTCACCCGTGGTTATCTCGCCCACAGCTTCCTGCTCTTTAGTTTTTTGTCAATAGCGTTGAGTAATGGACTCCCTTAACACCTTTGTTTCTCTGACTTTAGAAACTGAGCCTCGGGGGGATAATGCGAGCCTCTGGTGGTTAATTTCAGTCGCATATCTCCCAACACTCGGCTCCATTGTTTTGCATGATGTCCGTGAATAATAGACCTGCGTCAGGGCCTTGTCTCGCAGGTGTAGTCCCCTAAAAAAAGGACAGGAAATCCCATTCAACACTTTGTGGTGCTCGGTCTGAATTATGTGAGTCTCCTTATCATTTCCCTGCAAAGGTCGACTGTAACAATGGGGATTCAGGCGACAGATGTATTAGGAAGGTCAGGTCTCTTCTGTCTGCTCTCAGAAAAGGTCAGAAAAGTCACAAAGTGAGTGACACAGTGGGTGTTTCTCAATGTCGAGTAAGGCTGCTCCAGAGCCACTATTTCAAGCATGCTACGTCATCGAGTGCCGCCCGAAGGACTGTTCCAATGTCCAGGATGCTTGGAATTCTACCGAGGCCGGCGTACTTCGTTGCGGGAAATGTCGAGGCTCCACATGTCTAGACTCCGCCGTCTTAAAATCCCCACAATGCTTTGCGCACGGACCAATTTCCAACTCTTTGGCGGAAATCGCGCTCCATTTAAGGCGGGGCCTCGCACACCTGTTAGCCTGTGCCACCATTCTTTGTTTTCCGAGGCTAGGAAGGATTCTTGCCTCGCTTCTGAAGCAAGTGAATCGGAGGTACATGTGCTACCAAGCAAGCCTCCTCGACATTGAGAAACACCTCATCTCTTTGTGCTCTATTTAAAACATGTACTCACTGTCATGGGTCTTTTGTCGGGGCGCTTTACAAACTTGAGCTTAAAATGAATGCAAGAAAGTACAGAAATACCAAGACCCTTAGATTCCTCCCTTGGATGTCTGTGTTCTCCTAGCTAATGATTGGGAATAACTTCCACAGACTTCTCACTGTCTGACCTTATCATTGAAGTATCAGTCCGCCGTGTTTAAATTCTATAGAGTGCTTCCTGCTGATGTACTGACCTTCAGTCGGCCATGTTGGAGGTCCTCAGATGTTAATAGCTTTTCATATTTCCCTCTGCCTTAAAGGCCCTTAAAATGTGTTAAATCACTGAGCTATTTCACATTGACCATACAGATGCACTGAAGAACCAATCATGATGTTTGATTACAATAACTCACATCACAACATGCTAATTATATAGACATCCCCCATACATCCTGCAAGGAAACAAAACAATTCAACTTGTTTATCCATGCATGAATCAAGACTACAAAACAAACAGGAAACAATCAACCCCCCACAGAGTTTGACCCATTTGAGGAGCCCTTAGAAATTAAGTGTGTTTGACACGTTATGTCGTTTTTTTTAATTCTGCCACTCAGCAGCCCTTTCTTGGACTAAATGCATACCCTATTTGTCAGTTTAAAGCATATTATCATACATATATTCAGTGTGAAACTTGAAAGAGAATGAGAGAGAGAGGGTCGGTGAAAACAGGGAGAGATATACTGCAGGTGGTGGTAGGAGTTAGTTGCTGGTGGATGTTTTCTATTTTGTCATTAAAAAATGACATGAGGGAATTACAGTAGGCGGTTGAATACTAATGAGGTGCAAGAGAGTCCGGTGGTCGTAGTATGTTCTTCCCTGTAGAGAACAGGGCCCTTGTGTTCCCCTCGCCAGAGCTGATGAGAACTGCGTAGTAGACGTTTTAATCGACGGCCCTTTTGTTTTAAGTTGGCGTAGTTCAGGTGTAAAACAAGGAGCAGAATGGGTGAAGGAAACAGACCGGGTTTTTAAAGGAAACAGGTATTGAGCAGATTATGAAGGTTGTTATTGTAATGAAAAACCAGTTCATCAGGCGGGGATGAACAATTGATGCTGGGGAGGTTGTCAATGCTACTGGAGAGTGTAGTTAAATGAATATCCTTGATGAAAGGAAATAACACGTGACAGATTTGTTTTGGACAGTGTTAAGTATTTTTCAAGCTTTGATATACAGTCCTATTCTTTAATGTTAAGCACACAATCTCATCTTTATAATACAGCAACATGTGACGCAGCTGTACCCACATCTGATATGATGATACAAATGGTAAATTAAGGATAAATGTCTTTGTCAGCTAAAGTTAGCCATTCTTTTTGATTCGAGGTCTGCGGAGGAGTAAGAATGTTTTTGAGATAGATGGTTATATTATTAACTCAACTGCACTATAACCAGATTCATCTCCAAGCCAACATTTTGTATTATATTTTCTTATTTCTTATCCATCTTTCAAGGTTGTCGTATCAGGAAAGGTGGTACTTTGACACGATGTTTTTAAATCCACTTTTTCAAGCGTTCAGCTCAAAAAAGGGGAACACAATGTCACGAGGACTTTTTAACTTTTCTGACCCGCTAAGTAAGTACATTTTTTATTCATTGTGCTAATACTTCTCACAAGTACAAGAGGTGTCACCGCGGAGTTGAGAAAAAGGAACATTTCCCAGAGTAAACACTTTGTGTAATTGCATTTCCATTTCAAAGGCTTAATGTGTATTTGAGTGTTTCCACAGAGTGCTGCGCCACTTCTCTATTTCCTTTGATGTGGACACGTTTGTGTTCAAACAAACACATTATCAGCTCCTCCAGACGCACACACACTTCATCCATCTCTGTCTGTCTCCATGCTGCTTTTAAGGCTACTCTGATCACTATATTGAGTCTCCTTTCTCTCCCCAGGAGTACCAGATCGATATTATCTTCGCCCAGACCTGGGTGGACACCCGGCTGCGCTTCAACAGCAGCAGCACTCGGCTCACTCTCAACAGGTATTCACTCCTTTATTTCAAATCTGCTGTTTCGATACCTATCTATTCATAACCAGAGATGGTAGAAGTACACACATCCTTTACTCAAGTAGAAGTTCAGATACTCGTGTTTAAAATTACTCTGGTAAAAGTAGAAGTACTGACTAAACTTCTTTACTCAAGTAAATGTAAAGAGGGCTTTGAAATGTACTTCAGTAAAAAGTACCCATAACTAGCAGCTGTTTTAAAGAGTACCTGACCTCCCTTTATATTAATAGAACAATAATGTCATTGTTAGCTAATGAATGTTTCCATGCTGAACAACGGCAACATGACAACGTTTTCATTGGTCCCTCTTCTTTAGAGAAGACCAGGAAATGATGGATACACGGAACGTGTTCAAATCAATAGGCACGCAATGACTCTAAATAATAATGATCACGCCACCAAACACACATTCAAACTAAAGGAACCAGCCTGTTTGGGAAATGTGAGAAGTAGAAAGTACAGGTATTTGTGTTCAACATGTAAGAAGTAGAAAGTACAGGTATTTGGGTTCAACATGTAAGAAGTAGAAAGTACAGGTATTTGAGTTCAACATGTAAGAAGTAGAAAGTACAGGTATTTGTGTTCAACATGTAAGAAGTAGAAAGTACAGGTATTTGTGTTCAACATGTAAGAAGTAGAAAGTACAGGTATTTGGGTTCAACATGTAAGAAGTAGAAAGTACAGGTATTTGAGTTCAACATGTAAGAAGTAGAAAGTACAGGTATTTGTGTTCAACATGTAAGAAGTAGAAAGTACAGGTATTTGTGTTCAACATGTGAGAAGTAGAAAGTACAGGTATTTGTGTTCAACATGTAAGAAGTAGAAAGTACAGGTATTTGGGTTCAACATGTGAGAAGTAGAAAGTACAGGTATTTGTGTTCAACATGTAAGAAGTAGAAAGTATAGGTATTTGAGTTCAACATGTAAGAAGTAGAAAGTACAGGTATTTGGGTTCAACATGTAAGAAGTAGAAAGTACAGGTATTTGAGTTCAACATGTGAGAAGTAGAAAGTACAGGTATTTGTGTTCAACATGTAAGAAGTAGAAAGTACAGGTATTTGGGTTCAAAATGTAAGAAGTCAAAGTATTTGTACTCCACTACTTCATAATTATTATATTTGACTGTATTTCAAATGACTACAACACCCAGCTGGGATTCTTCTTTCCACTGAAGCAACTATTGTGTGTGAGCATTTTCATACTGTGAATATCTCATTTGAGAACAATATTCGTCTCTCTCTCGGGAAGAGGCCTGTAATTAATGGAACAAATTGATTGATGTGCTTTGTGTTCCCCGTGTCGCCCGGGCATTTCATTATCCTCTTACTGAGAAGTGGAGCTGCCTCTTTGTATGTCACAGAATATCTCAACACTAAACATTCCTCACCTTCTTCCTCTCTCTCTCTCTCTCTCTCTTTCTCTCTCTCTCTCTCTCTCTCTCTCTCTCTCTCTCTCTCTCTCTCTCTCTCCTCTTCTCTTCTCCTCTCTCCTCTCTCTCTCTCTCTCTCCTCTCTCTCTCTCTCTCCTCTCCTCTCTCTCTCCCATCTCTGCTCTCCTCTCTCTCTCTCTCATCCCTCTCTCCTCCTCTGCTCTCCGCCTCTCTCTCTCCACTCTCTCTCTCGTTTGTCTTTGTATTCACACAGCAATATGGTGGGTTTAATCTGGCTGCCCGACACCATCTTTAGAAATTCCAAGAACGCCGACTCGCACTGGATCACGACGCCCAATCAGCTGCTCCGGATCTGGAACAATGGGAAAGTGCTCTACACACTGAGGTAGGAAGACATTGAAACACACAGTACAGAAACATAGAGATCAAACAAAGAAGCAGGGAATCAATAGAAGAAAGCTCAAAGAAACACTCACGTAACATCATTTTATCTGGACATAATTGCCTTTTTCACAACATTCAGTTATCTCTGTAAACATGTGAGGAGTCTGTACCTCATCGCCCTAGATTTTAAAGCAATTTGACGCATTGATTTAACTTCTTGTGTTCTTGGAAGTGACTTAAAGTGAATCATCCATAATTGGGCAAAAAGGAAGGAAGCCTGGGTGGTTCAAACAGCAATATCTCGCACTCATAAATAGGCAATTTGCAGATTAATTCAAGCCGCAGTCGTCTTAAATCCATGTCTGTTGCAGTAGTTTTCATTAGTGGCTTGTTTTCACAATAACAAAGGCTTTTTTTTTAACCCATCTCTTGTCTTTAAAGCCCCTGAAAACATGGTTTAACATCTTGAAGAGGAACTAGTCGATACATCACAACAACACATATAGATGTTTCTTGGAATATAATGTTTAAACAGTTGATTTTTCTTGCAAAGAATATGTGTTATTTCTGCTCAAAAATAGCCTGTGTTAGTCAACTTCAAAGTTCAGTTTGTCTGACTCATCCCTCCCCTATTGTGACAAGATAGTCAAAACACTATCATACAAGTGAGAGATTATAAAAAGTTAATACATTTAGAAGACCCTTTACTCAATTTTTTTGAGGAATTATGCTTTTATATTGAAAGAGACTCCCCTATTCCTGTCTTGAGGACTTGCTTATTTTAGCTTCTCCTCCACTCAATCATTCATACTGTATGTCAGGGGTAACTTTTTTATTAACGGTCCAGTTGTGAACTTTATACAAGGTCACTGGTCCGGATCAATGCCAGTAAAGTCGTCGTCCCCCCCCCCCGACCGGAGAAAACAAACTGAAATTAAGAAGCAGTTTCTTGGCGCTCTATGCATGGGGCCCGACATGTCATTGCAGTAAATTAAAGGGTGTTTCATGTTGTCGTTGCTGTGGACCTTCTTAATCTACCTTCTTTGGGGGACCCCTTCTGGTCCAAGCACTTGCCTGCCTTGCCTGTCGGTAAACGGCGCCCCTGTATACACACACACATTCAATACATACATACAGTATGGTGGCTTGAACTAGTGGGAGAAATGGCACTGTTTGTCTGTAGTCAATGCTTTGAACCTCGGCAAAAAAGGCATTAGAAGCATTAGAAAGTCAAGGTAAACTTGCGGTTAACTTGCGGCCTGCGATGCGTGTCACGCTCGCACACACAAGTAAATATATATGCACGTTCATTCTCACAACGCGTCAGACACAAGACGCGCGTACACAATGATGTACATTAATTTATCAGAATCATAATTTTTTTAATTTTTATTTATTTTTTTAATAATTTTTTTTTTTTTAATAATGGGACACAGGGTTCGGTCCGGATTGATTTGCAGTTCGGTCCGGATCCGGACCTTGGTCCGGAGTTTGAGAAGCCCTGCTGTATGTGTTGTTTTAAATAATGAAATGTGAATATCTAAGCTCCTGCTACAAAGCCTGCTTTACCTCAGCACAGAAGAACATACACTTCTGTACAACGCGTCATCATGTCACACCGTGTGTGTGTGTGTGTGTGTGTGTGTGTGTGTGTGTGTGTGTGTGTGTGTGTGTGTGTGTGTGTGTGTGTGTGTGTGTGTGTGTGTGTGTGTGTGTGTGTGTGTGTGTGTGTGTGTGTGTGTGTGTGTGTGTGTGTGTGTGTGTGTGTGTGTGTGTGTGTGTGTGTGTGTGTGTGTGTGTGTGTGTGTGTGTGTGTGTGTGTGTGTGTGTGTGTGTGTGTGTGTGTGTGTGTGTGTGTGTGTGTATTTGGCCTTATGACAAAACAGCCCTCACCGTGTCAGTGTCTACAGAAAAAGCACTCAGGATTGGAGAGGACAGGTTCTTTTTAAATTTGAGTGGCGTCTGGGTTTATGAACCCTCAAAGCTCTGACGTGAGCTTTTTCTGTCTTAGGCGTGGTATTCTCACCTGCGTACCCGAGCTTTTCAAACTAAACCTTGGCCAAATAGCAGCCATGAGTGTTTGTTTTCAATCCCTGGAGGAACAATGCAAAGCTCCTGCAGCGTCAGGAAAGCACAGATTCTGTCAAATCAAATCAATGTATGGAAACAGCTGTGAGGAGAGAAAATGACCCAAAATAAAACTCAAAATGGTAGGGGGATAATTTGAGGGTAATCATACTGTCATCTTCCACCTATTTTAAAGCTGCAATTATCAGTATTATGGTCTTAAAAATCGCTTTATTAGCAATTCTTTACAGAGATATCAAACAATCTGATTTATTGTGCATTGAGTTTTATGACATTTGGATATGCTTAGCTTTCACTTTAGCTGTAGCTTACATCCAGATAAAGTTGTGTAACACTTTTGTCTCATATGTCTAGCAATGCACGGGCCAACAACAAATAGCTTTCCACAGCAGTCATGTTGAAAATATATCTCATTCTAGAAATGTCTCCTCGCATCTTCCCACCAAACATTAGGCTTTCAATTCGCTAATTTGACTCCTGTCAGTGCGTGTGTCTGTGATGAATTTGAAAATTATTGTTTCATTAAAAGGATATTAAGTCTTAAAGGAGGCGTTTGTTTGAATCGCTCAAACTTAATTGTAACACTCATCAAAATGAAGACTTTCTGGCTCCTGACAAACGATGGAAGCTTACGCAGCGACGTTAATAAGGACTTTTTAACGTCATGCATATCATGAAGTCATATATGCATGACGAAATATATGCAGATGACATGAGACCATGGAGAGAATAGACAGATTATTATGATATATATTGCTGGTAGCGGGTCAAAAAGTTTAAGTAAGAGAAGACTGATTTTAAATGCATTGATGGACATTACAGTAGTCATTATCGTTTGGTACTGAATGTAAATTAAAGGGGCCTTATTCTGCTTGTTTTCAGGTTCATATTTGTATTTCATGATTAAGAAACATCCTCTGGAGGGAACTTTTACATGCACCAAAACCTGTATACTACACTAGAGGAAAGGGAAAACCCCAAAAAGCACAACAGGGCCTCTTTAAAGTATACATATTTAAAGATAATAGCGACTGTACAGTACATCATCTGCACGTTGTGTAACCAGCGTCCTTTATTTGAATGGGCCACTATATGTTCATGATGGTCTCCCTTTTGCAGCCATTATGTATCCAGTGAGAATTCATCTGAGGATAATATATATATGAAGCAACACGTGGAGAATATGAATTGAGTGTATTTTGCCTGTAACACTAATCCGCTGTGTCTTTGTGATCCGTGCACTTCCTCCAAACATCTGCTGTGTTGACTTGTCCACTGATCTTAGCAAAGTACTGCTGTTTTTAGACGCTTATATGCCTCGGGGGCCCTGACCTATAAGTTGATGCCGTCTCCGCCAAAAACATGTCTGAGAGCGGATGATTAAACAGTCCTGTCATTTTGAGGGATTTCACACATCAGCCAAGCAACCAACTGTGATCCTGCACCATCTGGTTGGTAGTCAGCGCCTCCAAAAGAGCATGATGTGATATAAGCAGTGATGAATACTGAGCATTCACACCATGTGCTTCGTGGACCGAGAAATGAAGGAGCTGACACAGTTTTTTTTCCTAGAGCCTCCAACGTCTTTGTCTCAGTCTCTGCTTGTTTCTCTCTCGTCTTCAGGATGACCATCAACGCAGAATGCCAGCTGCAGCTCCATAATTTCCCGATGGACGAACACTCCTGTCCTCTCGTCTTCTCCAGCTGTGAGTATTGGCAAAAGCACAACACAAGCACACACTAATGCACAAATATGCATGCATGTAACACCTGCTAAAGTCAATCTATAAAACCAGACGTAGGGCAACGACTTGGATGCAGAGAAAGCTTCTACTTTGTGCTAGTTTTACGAGCTGTGAGGAGGTGGAAAGGATTCAAAGGGGTTTATTGTCAAATGCACAAAAGCTACAGCGTAGTTTTGGCCATCAAATCTTAAACCTCATGCTCCTGCAACACAAGACATACATAACATAACATAAAAAGACATTGCAGTAAACAAAGCAAATGTAATGCAAAAAGATTAGAGACACTGAATTCTCCTGCCTGGTGCACAGAGAAAATCAAATGCTTACCCATTGTCATGTTCAAAATTCCTCTACGAAGCAAGGAGTCGGAGCAGGCAATAAGGTTATAATGAAACGGATTTATTTCAGTTGTGATAAGGAATACAAACGCTCAGCTGAGGTCTCTGGAGATCAGTTTTCACTCCAAGCAGTTAACTGTCCAACATTTCCTTCCAGAGCCCCGGAAACTGGCAAAACACATTTCATATACTTATTACAGGATAAAGGTGTCATATTATGATTGGTTGAGACTTTGGTTCTCTCTCGTTGGCGCACAGACTTAGACAAAAGTCTCTTGGCAACACGATCTTCCAATCAGCATTGGGCCGGCCGGCGAAGCTCCCTCCCTATCCTACGTCATTTGTTTTTGCTAAAGTTTCTACAGAGATAGTGGATCCTTCATTCTACTGGTTCCCAGTTATGCGTGGGCGCGGAGCTCACTGTTTCTGACTAACTCATTGTCTTCCTACACTGCACCTGACCTTATTGCAAGCTAAAACTTTCTCTAGGACTTTTCCCTTCGTTTCCTATCCAACCTATCAAAACTTGGGATTGGTGATTGTGTCTATTTATTCCAAAGTCATAGTAACATCTCAATGAGCACAATAAGCATGTCATGTAATAATAAGAATCAGTCTATATACGAATAGACTCCACACCATCTCCAACAAGCAGGTATTTTATTGTGAAAGGGTCCCAATAAATGGTCATCTTAATCAGGGATTAACTGCAGCTCTTATCCGACCCATTGTAAAGCACCCAGAGGAGAGGGAGGAACGATTGTCTAGACGGGAGGAGGAAATAATAAGCGTGAATAATCATCTCCATCTCAGCTTCGGGCACAAAGGCTATATCATATCTCTCAGCGTGATGAAACAGGACAGAATGAAACGCTTCCAGAGTCAATGTCTGGTCAGAAGTGACCCTTACGTTCCTGAATGAGGGTCAAAGTTGAAGATAAGGGAGAACTAGATGTAGATTTTTAGTGTCCATGTGGTTTCAATTGCATTTAGACACTCAAGAAACATATACAGATCAAGAAAGGGAACTTGGATACACTTATAAGGAATACAGTTGGCACACAAAGGGTGGAAATTGAGGATGCAACATAATTGAATACAGACGGTAATCAATAAAGGAATTAATTATAGTGAAAAACGAGATAAAAAAGGATATTTTACAAGAGAAACAATCGACAAAAGTCGTTGAAGGACTAAGATATAGATATGAACTGTTTCTTTTTTGGGCTCCTATTTATTTAGGGCATTAATTGAAAGTAGTTGGCAGAGGTATACATGAGCACAAGGGAAGAGAAAGTACTTCTTAGTAAAAAAAAAAGACAATTTTCTCTCTTACTTTATTAAATCCATCTGAAATTGGCAGCATATGCGAGGAGATACAAGCTGTGAAATGAAAAGGATAAAAAAGTATTACTTAAACCCTAATGTGTTGGAAGCGTTGTCCATTTTGTAAGTGTTTGAGAGCCAGAATCTGCAGCATGAGCACAACCAGTGAAATGAAAGCTTTCACCGTCCCATTAAGCAGAGCCTTATTAACTCACCCATCACCTAAAAAGCACCATTTGATTTCCATGCGAGTGCTCGCTCTGCATCTCCCTGTGCAGGATATGATTTCATTGAGGTAATAATCAATACCTAATGTTCCTACAGATGGCAGTATTTTTCCCAGGCTATTATTATTAAAGCCTCCTCTCATCGTGGAGGTGGCGTAATCAATCGACTTCTATCTGAGAATACATGCAATTTGCTCACCGTGTGATGAGAGCGTGTCACTGTGCTGCAGGTAGTGAAAGAGATATTGACCGCAAATGGGCTTCCATTATGTCTCTGCAGTAATAACCTTTGTTCCCGTGCAGATGGACTTTTCTTTTTGCTTCAATGGATGAGCGGCATAGCTTTGATCATTTCAACAACCCTGAATTAAAGCCATGACATTCTACATACTGCCATGTTGCTAATTGCTTAGAGAGGCCCGATTCTGCTTTTTAGGGTTGTCCCTTTCCTGTCATTTGTTATATAGGTTACTAACTTCTATTGGGTAGCGCTCCAACACAGGAGAGGACTCTTTAAAGTACAGACACTACATACTGATATACACCTGAACATCAGCAGGAGAGGACTCTTTAAAGTACAGACACTACATACTGATATACACCTGAACATCAGCAGGAGAGGACTCTTTAAAGTAGAGACACTACATACTGATATACACCTGAACATCAGCAGGAGAGGACTCTTTAAAGTAGAGACACTACATACTGATATACACCTGAACATCAGCAGGAGAGGACTCTTTAAAGTAGAGACACTACATACTGATATACACCTGAACATCAGCAGGAGAGGACTCTTTAAAGTAGAGACACTACATCCTGATATACACCTGAACATCAGCAGGAGAGGACTCTTTAAAGTAGAGACACTACATACTGATATACACCTGAACATCAGCAGGAGAGGACTCTTTAAAGTAGAGACACTACATACTGATATACAGTACACCTGAACATCAGCAGGAGAGGACTCTTTAAAGTAGAGACACTACATACTGATATGAACCTGAACATCAGCAGGAGAGGACTCTTTAAAGTAGAGACACTACATACTGATATACACCTGAACATCAGCAGGAGAGGACTCTTTAAAGTAGAGACACTACATACTGATATGGACCTGAAAATGAGATCATAGGGAACCTTTTAAACATATTTTGATAACAAAGCTCTGACTTTTCCCACAGTGAACTTTTAGACTTGTTTTTTTTAGCAAAAGCAATGAAAATAGTCGTTAGTTTTGAATCCAAATGCAAGCTTAGATAGCACATTTTAGTTTTTTTCTCAATGTCTTTGAAATGATTCTAAATCTCCCCATTTAAAAGTTATCCTTTATTCAGGATTGTATGAAATGACATGTACAGATGCTCCTAAAAATGTGTTTTATCTCAGCGTAAGAAAGGCTTTTTGATAAGAAAGAACAAAGGCTTTCAGAACATCTGCTCCGTCTGTTTTCAAACGTCCAGATTGTTTAGCGTTGTATACATGAACACGTCTCATTTCTGAAGACAGCAACACGGACTTCTGCACATATGAGTCAACCCTTTTGGAAAATGTGAAGCCGCTCCAGATTTATTTATATACGATCCTTGATATTCATGCGTTTAGAAGTTCTCAGGAAACAGTTATCCGTGAATCGATTACAGCATAGCGATGTTCAACATGCCAAAGGAAAGCACATTAGCTAGTGTTTGAACAGGTCAGTGTGTTTTGCATTCATTTGTTGCCAGCCGACAAATGGCACGTCTCATGGCAGATGGAGATGAAGGCAAGAGGGAGACGAGATGTCTTTTACGTCTGAAATGAAAGCTACAAAGACGAATATAATCACTTTTCTTCACTCACATATTCAACATATTATCCTTTCTTAGCAGCTGTAGCATCCTCTGATCACTAACCATGCAAGATGTTATTGTATTTAAAGCTGTAACAATTAATCGGCGAGTTATTTGCTAAGCAGTCATGAGAACTGTCAGAACATATCGTTTTTTAGCGTCCGAAAGTTTTTGATTTCCTGCTTTTTTCAGTTTTATATTCAAATTTGTAAATTATATGTGGGGTTTGGACTTAAAAAGCAGGACCTTTTCACTATTTTCTTACATTGTATAGGCCAAAACATCTGTAAAAATGTAAAATAATCATTACTTGCAGCCTTAAATATATTGTGATATTTTGCCTAATGCCTAAAAATGTTGTGTCTCTTAATCATGAATCAAATTAGACGTTATGACTGCAACCAAATGTATTTATCGAGAAGTAACATAAGAAACATGACGAATGCCTTGGTGACTTCCTCGTAACTCTAAATATTTGTCCCTGACACCTTGCGAACATGTTTTGATTTCATGTCTTTAAAGCTTAGTGTCAGACGTAAGGGAAAAGTTCCCTGACTGAAAAGCTTTAACTATGATTAGTAGGACCCATGCAGCTTTCCTCCCCACAGGCATAGCTGCAATCACTTCCTAAAGATCCCCCTCTGAGCAGCAATAATAGCACGATATTTACATGTTCCCTGCACATTATATACCAGTAATGATATATCTGTTACAAAGTGCCGGCCCTGATTGAGGCTTGGAGGGTAATTGGCTTTGTGCAAGAAAATGGTGGAGACATTTCCAGCACACTTCTCTCAAATCAATCTGCTGACGGCTACGGTGATATATCAGAAGGTGTATGTATATAAGAAATGTGTTTTAACATCAATTCAGCCATGCTATTTGTTCTTTGACTTTAAAGATGTTGCTGTAATCTGTTAGCATGCTTGCTAGCATTTGCTTTGCCTGAACACAAGCTACAGCTGAGGCTAATGGGTTGACCAAATAACTTGACAAATGCACATTTTTCTAAGACTTTCCAGATAGTCTTTTAACACAACTGAAGCATCACTGTCTGCACAAAAGCCTTCTTGAAAGTTCGTAGAAGTTAGAATAAGATTTCTTAATTGTAGAGATCATTCCTATTTGGATCCAAGTTGAGGAATGACCTATAGAAAGACATTGCATAGGAGGCGTGTGGCACAATGGATTAGTGCGCTGATCTTTGAATCAGAGGATAGCAGGTTCGAGTCCCCCCAGCATGTCGTTGTGTCCCTGAGACACTCCTGTGGGGATTGTCCACAGTATTGAGTATGTAAGTCGCTTTGGATAAAAGCGTCTAACAAGTAACATGTCATGTAATGTATTGCATGGCTTAACATCTTAAATTGTAAGCATCACATATGTATACTGGAGTTTTTGCTTATTGTATATAGGGCTAAAATCATTTCAGTAGACATCTCGATGCTGTTGAGACAGGCGAGTCATACTGTATATTTAAAGGTATAATCAGCACTTCTCAATCACTCCTGTCATCACTCCTGCCATCACTCCTGTCATCACTCCTGTCATCACTCCTGCCACATCAGGGGAGTTTTCTCAGTTTTCTTCACAACTTTTAATTCTGAAAACCTCATCTAAAAATGGCTTTGAGTTGGGTGTGTAAATGCTTACAGTTTAAACCTATATTCCCAGAGGAGCTGACGTTATAAAACTAAATGCAACTGACCTCCTGTAGGTACATATGTTTGTTTGAAGAACAACTCAGCAGTCGGTGGAAAAAAAGTGCTTACAGCCTGCTGCTACCTTCAGTTATCTTTACGAAGCAGACAAAGCCTGAACATCCATGCGTGCACACACAGAGTAGATATGCATATCTTCTGTATTTCAGACAATGAAAGGAGAGAGAGTTTAATCTGAATACTTTAGGAAACACACTTAACAGTATGATGGGCTGTTAAAAGTGTCCGAGGCTTCAAAGGGACATTTGAATATCTAAATAACCATAGAAAAAGGGTGAAAAATGCTTTTTTAATAGACAAATATTTCCAAAGACTGTGTTATCTCGACAGTTTGTAATACATAATAATTATAATTAAAAGAAGAAATTGACAAAAATCAAGATAATATTTGATTAATTCATTAAAAAATACTAATAATAAAATGCTCAACGAATACATGAGGAAACAGAACAGAAATAAACTCCCAAAAAATGCGGATATTTGATTTGTTATGTGATTTTCCCCCAGACAAGCGCCAATGAGAAGTCGTATTTGAATCGGACTTTATTTCCCTCATAAGTGTTTTCCCTGGCAGAGAAGCTCACTCATAACTGGAGTGTTTAGCAGTAATATGGAAATATCATCCTGCAGGAGAGACGGGGAGATATCGGAGCAACAGAGGAGCGTAGTTTACAACTTGGAGGAAGAACATGTTGCTTCGGGGGGTTTTTACAGACGTGAAAACATTTGGTAGCTATTAGGAAACACTGGTAACATCATAACACTGTTTGCAGTAAAGATAATTGCACAAACACACCGAGAGAAATATGACTGCAATCATGTTTGCCATCAATTATTAAAGAAATAAAGCGCTCTCCTGCATGATGGTGATTGCTCTTGGTGGTAATAGATGGCCATCCTCTAAATGAGACTATTTACATAATTAGTGTGGTTTGCAGCACGGGGCACAACGAGGCTCGCTCATTATCGCTGTCACTCATGTGTTCATGTGAAATTGCTTCAACTTGTCATTTTTTTTCTTTCTTGTCTGTTGTTTGTTTACATTGATTTTTTTAGCGCTCGTGTTTATACCCTCATCTGCATGTGATGATTTCTTGCTTTGATGCTAAACATATCAGAGGTGTGTGGGGAAACTTCTGAAGCAATTGGAGTCAGGACTCAGAGAGACACGGGGAGAGCTGGAGCTTTGATGTCAAACACTGACGGGTTTATTTGGAGCTTCGGCCGGAGAATTCAGTCTGAGAGTCAGAGGGTCTGACTTCACGGGAGAGTTGCCACGTCAATTCTGAAGAACTCTCCCCCAGACCCGTGTATTTAGCTAGTTCAGAGAGAATAATCCACATTGTGCATAACAAGATAGAATCATAACGCGTCTATGAGCTGACGCCAACCGGCAGGAACAGGGAGACAGAACCCTGAGAGCACAGCAGCCAAGGGTACAGGTGCGTGTGCTCAGTCAGGACATGAACTGATAAACTGGGTCAAAGTTATGGACCTTGGAAAATATTTCCCCAACAAGAGACTCCAGCTTTAAAGAGGACATATTCAGCTTTTTGGGGTTTCCTGTAGTATAGGTTTTAGTGCATGTAAAGGGTCTGCAAAGGCTACAATCACTGTGTTGCTTCTATTGGCTCTCGCTCCAACACATTGTACGTGATAGGCTAAGGGGCGGGACATCTCTAAGCGCCGTCCAGCTAACCAATCAGAGCAGACTGGGCTCTGGTTTCAGACAGAGGGTGAAAAGAGGTCAGGCAGTATGAGAAGAATAAAGACAGTGGCACTACAAACTGATATGAAGCCGAACATGAGTACAATATGTTCTCTTCAAAGCATTTCCACAGGTCATTGTCCTCATAATCAGCTCCTCCATGGAAAAGCACTTTGACACTGAAGTGGCCTAACACAGAAATATATAAGAGATGCGCACTCTATAATCTTACACCACAAAATGACCTTTAAGAGCCAATTACATGTATTTTTCCTACATGTATTCCAACTGTTCTCTATAAAGAATGACATCTCGCAATAAATCCTCCCCAGGTTTGACCATATTGTGATTTAGAGGCATCCTTTAGGCCAGGTGGGTGGAAACAGGTGAAGTGTGTCACTGAAATGAACAATTCTTACACCGAGTAATACATTGAATTACATTAGAGTGGATATGTGTTCACTATGGATGCACTACTGCAGATTTAAGTTAACGGCAATTGCTCACTTGGTCTGCAGTCCACTGAAAACTCACTGTATAAATTATTTTAAATCAGGTATATATCATGCATACAATGAAATCTGCATCGCTGCATTAAACTTTTCTTTATTCGTGGCCTTAAACTTTTAACTTTCTTTCGCTCCATCTGGTTGTTTTTTTACAGACGGCTACCCACGAGACGAGATTATTTACAAGTGGAGTCGCAACTCGGTGGAAACTTCGGACCAGAAATACTGGAGGCTCTACCAGTTTGATTTCATGGGGCTCAGAAACGGCACGGATGTTCTCACAACAACAGCAGGTAAGAACCATGATGTAATATACTGGGAAGCTCTTTAATTCACTGTATCTGAGGTCAAAGGTCAACCTGGCTTTCTGTTCAGTAGCTTTGGAAATTAAACTTAACTACCTCTGCATCTTCGCCCAGGTTAACATGAGCACCGTGGCCATAAATGTAATCATAAAACCACAAGCTCATAAGTATTCCCCTCGGGTGTGAGGGCGAATAGGTTTCTCCACTGACATGAATCACCCAGATTAAAGATTTAAAAAGGAAGTTTAATTATTCACCCATTTTGCTCTTCTCGTCCCATGCTCTCAGCGCCGTTATTAGGCCTCCCGTGATTTAATTTACCTGTGTTTGGGAGGCATGGAGACATATTGCTGCCCCAACAGGTGCCCGTAATTATACCCACAACTGGCCCGGGGTGGACGCGCTCTTAATCCATTTTTAATGCTTTCACGTGACGTGTTTTAACGGCTTAATAAGCGGAATATTATGAATGAGGGAGGTGGAGAAAGAGCTGGGTTGTTAACCCCACTTAACCTTGTTTATGAGCTGCGGATATTCCCCCTTAGTTGGTGCCATGCAGGCTTTTGTCTTTGCTGCATAACGTGACCTATTTCAGCTTTCTAAGAACCTCCATTCATGAATATTCTGGGACCAGGCGTACTTGGTGTGATTAGGGAAGCGATAACAAGGAGTGGCATCAAATTATTTAATGAGCTCAGTGGAAATTAGTCGAACAGCTTCATTTTGTGAAATGTTAAAGGGTGGGGGTGATTGTCCCGGTACTCAAACACGACATGGCTAAATCAAATCGTTTTTTACACTCAAATCCTGTAAGCATAGTATTTATGATCACACATGATGAGCATCTTGAGACACATTGATGGCCGTATAGATGACATGGACGCCTGCTGCTCACAACAAATCCCAGCTAATTTCTTACCGCAAACCTCCACATGTGCCTCATGCTGTTTGCTTCCTGGTATCATTCCCTCTGTTTCTCCGTGCAGGAGCTCCATCTCCACACGCCTGATGATTAGATCCCCAGCTAAAAATACCTATCATTAATTTACATCATGACAAAGTAGGAATGTGCTGCTTCCTCTCGTGTTTCCCTCCCTCTCTGTGACTCCTCACTCTTCAGCCGTATCCCTCATAAGCACGGGCTGTTTTAATGAGGACAGAGTGGACCATCGGGGACCCAGAGCCACAAATCCTCCGTTGTTATCAATTCAGTCCTCTTCAAAAGGCCCCCATGAGGAATGTCAAACACTTCATTGCTTTGTTCTGCGATCCCCCCATCGAGAATTCCCCGAAAGCCTCCATTGTGTCCTTTCTCTCTGCGGTTGCATTGCAGAAGTGCTGATGTTCTTCCCTTTTCTGTCTTTATACGACTGGAAGCGCATATGTAGAAACGTCAAATTGCTGACAATCCAATGTCGTGCATATTGTATTTGATGTTCCTTCTCATGTATGAGACCCTTCATGCATCATGTGACGGTGCTCGCTAACCTGCAGCTCTGGAAAAGACATGTTTTAAAGTAACTTTCAAAAAGACAGGATGTCCAATCATAGCTTTTCCAAGCTCAACAGGTCTGTCTTGCTTTGTGTTTCTTACCATGTTGAAGTGTTGTGCATACGAGACTAAACGTTCAAAAAAAGTGTGATTGTAACTAATGTAATGCTTTTATCTGCGAGTGCAACCATTAGCATGTTAGGCCAACAGCTTTCTATTGATCTTACCTACTGTGTGGAAGAGAAGAGAGCTATACGATTTGTAAACAGACTGGATTATCTCAAACTAACCGACTGCACAGTTGAGTAATAAAGTACAAGGAAAAATTGTAGATTGTTGGTTGCGAAACAAGAGGGAAAAACGTTGTAATAATATATTGCGAGAGTGAACTGGAAACATTACAAAGGTCAGACACGTTTAATCAACTCATGGAGATAACCTTAATTAGCTGCAGCAGATAATATCATTAAAAATGTTCCTTTAATTAGATAGATAGGTACAGATGATAAAAACTGGTCATTTCAGATTATAAAATCACCAGCTGTCCGCAAAAAAATATGAAAGGGAACAGAATCAGGGAGGCACGAATATAATGTTTTTTAAGGGGTTTAGTAACTAAATCTGTGGAGACATGAGTTGCTAAAAATATATACCACTGTGCAAATCATACATTTTATTTATTTTTCCCAGATGGAAGCCTTTCTCACACGTTATGTGCAGAAAGTCTGGAGATAATTTCAGCTTTTACAGTTTCTTGCCATCATAAATGGTGTCCCAATTTCCTTTAAGGAAAACATGCCTTTCAAAGCTTTCAGATGGTTGTGATGTTCAGGAAAGTAATGCACTCTAAACATGCTGCTTTCCTGAATGTCAGTGTCGTAAAAAAAACAGCAACAACATGTCAGCTGAGTTTCTTGAGCTCATACTCTTTGAAGAGTATTCCCAAAAATGTCCCTCCCAGCTTCCACACAGAAAGAAGATGGGAGCCTACTGCATGACAGTGTGTAGACTAGTGCAGAGCAGGGTCATAAGTATTCTGCAGGAGTGTGTACACACAGGGGTTGTTAACAGAAGGTAAACAGAGGGCTTGTTTGCCACGATGCACAGATACAGATAGTCCACCTGGGAGGGCACATTTGTGTCGCCTCCATTAATGCAAGCTAAACAATATTACCCTGCAACATTAGCAAGATTAAGGGAGCAAAATGACACTTATCTCTGTGCATTAAACTGTCAAATGAGACTTTCTGTGAGCTGTGTCAACCTTGGGCTGCTTCCAGGATGCTGCTGTTGCACGCTATGCAATGAGTTGTTTTATTCACCCGGTGATTGGTATCTGAAATTGCTTTTTTAAATATAACCAGCCTTATGATGCAAGCTTGCTTTGGAAAGAACCCTTTCTTCGACATGAAGGGGTACATCAAATAAAACTACACAGCTTTATTACGGTGAAATGACACATAGTGCTTACTGTTGTGATTAAGATATCCTTTGTTGTAACATTAACCAGGTAGCTTTCATTATTCTTTTTGAAATACAGTCGACTAATTCCTTTTATTACGAGCTCTGATTACATGCATCCTTCATTAATGCGCTTTATAGCTCCCTTTTTGGTCTTTTGAATAGCTTTTATGGGGTTTTCTCAGCATTTACTTGGGAATACATGTTGATTAAATGCACCTTAAATATTATCCACATTCCCCACTTTCACATCTTTTTATTTCCCTGTTTGCTTTAACGTAATTCTTCAAAATAAGACTTTTAAATGTAAGACGGGTGGTTTTAATGTATGGGAAGATTCCCTTAATAAAGATGGCATAACGGGGAAAGAGTGAGGTAATGTGCGAGAGATAAACACTCCTCTCTCTGCACCTGCTGATTCAAATCATTATTTCACTTCTGTGTAGCGTGAGGTTGGGTCCAGAGGACAAAAGGTCTTCCTCTACAGATGTTTTATTCAATCCGACATCCTTTTTCACGGGGAAAGTGCTTCTGAGTGGCAAGCAGCTTATCAAACGGCATTCCTCAGTAATGTTTAAAGTCTGATGCAGAGAACTTTGTCAAGGTCACAGAAGCCGAGCGGTGTAGCTCAAAGTCTGTCAGTAATTTGAGTAAACCGATAAACTCTGTCACCTCGTTATTCCACCTCTCTCTCTCGCTGTGGCGTCGCTCAAGATCCAGAGAGAAGTCTTCCTCTGTTTTCTGAGCTTCATTTGAAGTCTCCTTTTCTTCTCTTCGTGCCATCTGTACATCTGAATTACCTATCTTTCTTTTTCAAGCTTTCCTGTCTCCTTCTGTCCTTGTCTTTCCCCCCTCCTGGAGATCTAACTTGAAGCAATTATAGCCATTATTCCAAATGATAAGAAACAGAAATGAACACTTTTTGATGTCTGGAGTTAACAAAAGAACCACATCTTTGACACATTTACGTGACGTGTATCTGCTCTTCCCTGCACGGACAGTCTAAATGAAAGTGACTGGAGATCTTAGTCCAGTCACTTCTGACGATCTCATTAGACAAATATCTCTCTCAGTTTAACTCCATTGACACAAAATGCTAATTTTTTGTCCCCCAGAGGTCATTCGTCGGCTCCTGGTTGTGTTGTAAGCACTTAAATCTGTATCTGTATCTGTGTCTTCTTACAAAAACAGTATTCTGCTGACGTGTGCATCCTCGATAAACTGCACTGTTGTCACAATCTTGCAGTAAAATGTGGTCCCGCTCTCCGTTCTGATGACGAAGTTAAGAGCACAGCATGATGTAGCCTCCAGCTAAATATCAGGCCTTTTAATTACTCATAAGCCAGCGTGCTGCTTCATTGATCCTCTGAGGTATTCAATAACATTCAAAGAGGTCAAGTTACTCAAATGTACTCAGAGCAGAGGTCAGATTCATATGTTTAATTCAATCCTATGTGCATCAACTCAAATCAATAACATACTATTCCTTATGAGTATATTAATGATGTATTTGTCTTACAATGCTTTATATTCATTAACATTTCATTACACTTCTTTGGAAAACAAATAGCTACCTTAACCATAAGTCCTGTTACAACGTAGAGTTGGTATGTGGGGCTCTATTTAGTTCATACATCTGCTTATTATATCACTTAGCACTTAACACTTGCTGTTGTTTTGAATTAGTTACCTCATGTAAGGCATTGTGTGTCAATAGAAGAACAACAAGAGACATTTAGAGTCCGAATCGAGCTTATTGATGGGTAGGTTTACATAAATAAGATACTTAAACAACTTGGAAGTGGAAAAATAAGTGGAGGGATGTGCAGAAATGTGCAAATATATACTCAGAAAGATATATTTGTATATTTATCATCTGTATATTGATGTTCTTATGTAATAGAATACGATAAATTGTGTGTGTGTGTGTGTGTGTGTGTGTGTGTGTGTGTGTGTGTGTGTGTGTGTGTGTGTGTGTGTGTGTGTGTGTGTGTGTGTGTGTGTGTGTGTGTGTGTGTGTGTGTGTGTGTGTGTGTGTGTGTGTGTGTGTGTGTGTGTGTGTGTGTGTGTGTGTGTGTGTGTGTGTGTGTGTGTGTGTGTGTGTGTGTGTGTGTGTGTGTGTGTGTGTGTGTGTGTGTGTGTGTGTGTGTGTGTGTGTGTGTGTGTGTGTGTGTGTGTGTGTGTGTGTGTGTGTGTGTGTGTGTGTGTGTGTGTGTGTGTGTGTGTGTGTGTGTTCCTACAGTCTGTTAGCAGTGGGCACAAATGAGCGCTCTCTCTGCACCTCAGTGGGATGATTTGGTGTCTGAATGTATCATCCTGTGTCTTTACCAAAAAAACACATGCTAACATAAATAACTATCCATCCAATAGCCGCTCGTATTGCAGCGCCTACAGACTGTGCTCAGTGCCGTTGGCTAAGGTTATGGAGCTCAACGCACCGAGTGAAGTACGCCTTTTTAGAATATTCTCTCAGTCTCCTAAGCAATGATGCATTGTTGGAAAGTCTATCGTTTTGTTCATCCATGCTCAAAAGTCAACAGGGTTAAAAAGGGGGTGAAACAAAGCATGTGAACATTTTCCTGAACTATCAGTAGAAGATGAGCTGCTTTGTTTATGTAACTGACACACTTATTACCTCTTGGGATGAATAATAAGTGTGATACAAAAGTTCCAACACTCAGTCGGTTTATTTTATGACCTGTTGCTGTTAATGAAAGTCAAATCAGCGTTTAATCAGCGCATGAAACATGGCATTCAGAAACACTTTGCCTTCCAGCAGAACCTCTGATTAAACACATCGGGTCCTAATTGGCTCTTAGATGATCTATACATTAATACATATACCAATATCTTTAAGGGGAAATAAAAGCCTGTATCTACTCATGTTGGTACACCAAACAACCTGGGTTTTTTTACATTAAAACAGCATTTTTTGGCACAATTGATTTGTTTTAATAGCCCCATAAACTCGTATTATCCTACCTTGGCTAGTGTCGTTTAAAATTCAGGATGAGTTAAAAAAAAAGGAAAATCAATACAAAAATAAACACAAGCTGTACAAGTACATGCTGTACATACATTAAACAGATGTATATGAATACAGTGTCTACAAAATACACAATATACAGTATAAGGGTTGAGTTAGGATACTCTAAAAGTAGAAATATTCCAACATAGGCTGATTGTATTTGAAGAGAGGTTGTATGAGGAGATGTGCTGTTAATATGCAGTGTGCAAAGCAGGTGCACTTTTTAATTGAAATGTATTTACTTGCAGAGAGTTAGTGTGTAATAAATGTACAGACTATTTCAGTAGATATACTTTATTCATCCTAAATTGGGATTGTTTCAAATGGGCATGTTACAAGCATTCCAGAATGGGTTAAAAAATCAATTAGAAAATGAACATAAGTCATTCAAACAATCCCTCAAAACTCACCTTTTCACTCTGGCCTCCAACTCCTAATCCATGAACCCCTCGCCCTTATTCCACCTAGTTTACCACTTTTGACTTTTGTTGTTATTGTTCTTCTTTACTTGCTCGTGAAGCGCTTTGAGCAGCAGGAAAAGCGCTATATAAATCACATTTTAAAGCTCATCCTCTCTCTGCAGGCGACTACGTGGTGCTGACGGTGTACTTCGACCTCAGCAGGAGGATGGGATACTTCACCATCCAGACCTACATCCCCTGCATCCTGACCGTGGTTCTGTCCTGGGTCTCCTTCTGGATCAAGAGCGACGCCACGCCCGCTCGCACCGCTCTAGGTAAACATCATATAATGATATATGTATGTTGTCGTGGATCCAAAACCTTAGACACTGAAGACATAACCAAATAACACAATAGAAACACAGACACACTGCTGATTGAAGGAATTATTATATTGTTGTGTAAGAGCCAGAATACTTTCGTCAAGTCCGCAAAGAGTATCTGTGTCTGTCTAAAGAATAACAGAATCTCACAGGTTTGATCCACTTCTTTTTAGTTTACACAGCACTAAACCTTTGGACCTTTTGCAATCACATGCTCAATAACACGCTGCAGACAGACATGTGCACATTCAAGGTCTCTTGACTAAAGGATGAAACTCATGAGCATGGCTTACAACACATGATCATATCATACAGAATATTTCAACAATTGATGTAGCATTGTTGGAGGAGCCTGGGTTGCTTATCTACACTGAAGCTCCTGTGCATATGAAACCAGACAAGTAGCTACAGTGTGATTAAAGGGGGCTTGTTCAACTTAACCCCCAGTTAATTATATTGCAATATGCTTTCTTACACCCACCATGTTGGCAAAGATCTCCCTCCTCCTTGTGGATGATTAGTAGTCGGGAAAAGTGTCCAATATTACTATATAACTATATATATAACTCCCTGCCCCTGCTGTCGTTTAATAACAGGGACGTGAATTGAAAGTTGTTTGCAGGATTTAGAGGTTTTAAAAAAAAAACTAATTCCCATTCAATCTGAGATTTAGGACGCCTGGAAGCAATAATCTCTTTTTTGATTTATAACTCGGCCTTTGTTGCAGTAGTTATTACAGGCAAAAGCAATCATTTTAATAGAGTGTGTGTGTGTGTGTGTGTGTGTGTGTGTGTGTGTGTGTGTGTGTGTGTGTGTGTGTGTGTGTGTGTGTGTGTGTGTGGGGGTGGGGGTGGGGGTGGGGGTGGGGGTGGGGGTGGGGGTGTGTCTCACTGTATATCTCACTGTATATCAATGCATGTGTCACCTTTAGCAGGTCATCAAGCCATCTTTGATATGTGTGTGTTTCTTGTTTTCTTTTGTCCATTCTTTAAGTGTTAATCCTATTTCTTTTTGCACGAGTTAACCATCATTTTCTGTATTATTTTCCTCCCACTGCATGCCTCCCATTCTCATTTGCTTTCCTGTGGATGATGATGATGATGTTGTGCTGGTGGCTGTTTAAAGTGGAGTCCAAGGTAAGTATCTAAACAGTACATGCCCATAATGTATATGGTAATATTAACGTGGAGATGTCTGAATGTAAAACGCTTAAGTACAAATGTAGTTAATGACCTTTTCTTGACAGTAACTGCAAGCTAGTTCAGGCAGTCACCTCGAGCACTCATGCTGCATTCATACATAACGCCCCTCACCACTCTACAACCAACCAAACACAGTCTCCTTAATATGCCGCTCTATTTAACCTGCCAGATATCTCTCTATGCATTGCTTGCTGCTGCTATTGCTGCAGCTACTTCCACGTCGCTGCTGCTTGCCTGCCCCACCACCACCCCAGCTTCCACCCCAGCTTCCACCTGTAAATGTTAAATGTTAGTTATTTCATCATCACTCATGGTGCTATGTATATCTGTGGAGTGATGAGGCCCGAGCCTAGACGCCAAACATGTGAAAGAAACACGTGACTGAAATCCGATTAACCTGCGCGTGATGTTGGTTGTAAGATGAGATAAAACTGTATTAATACACATAGGGACTAAGAGCAGCAATAGGAACATAAATAATAATAATTTGGGAGAATAGATAGATGATAAAAAGGATAATAAAATGTCTTAAAAATAAACAGATACCTAAATATTCAGAGGTGTATCTAAACACTATAACGTATTAAAAATGAAATTGAATACTCTCTAATATGTACTTGTATACATACAAAAACTTTGTACAGTAGCTTGCAATTAAAAGTCAAATATATCCTGTAGAGATGCAGAAGTAGTAAGTCAATGAAAAACCTAATTGTGTATAAAATAACATGGTTTTGGTGGAATTGTTTATTACTCCCTGGATGTTTACTCAGACCTGTGGCTGAATAAACATGTGTCACAGTAAGACACTGGACGACAGTGCAGACTCATCACTTTTCTTATTAGTTGCAGTTAAACGAAGCCTTGTGGAGATCGAGATTATGGTAATTGATGTTGTTGTGCAAACTGCTGCTTGTAGCCAAACATAGGTCCCTTATGATAAAATGAAGATTGTTAGATGACTTATCCCTTTTCCCACTGCCCTCCTGCACCTAGTGTCTGTTTTATAACTGTGTTTTTCTCTTTTAATTCGGGAGGAGCTGTTCATTTCCTCCCCCTGGTGTGAACTCTGTTGCAATTTAACGGCGTAAATTGAAGTAGAAATTAGAAAAACAACTCAAAGCTCCCCGGCACCGCGGTGGTACCTGTTGAAGGAGATTAAAGTCAAACACGTGAACTCACTTGATACTATCCGACCTCTCCAAACTCCTGCCACCTTTACCCACAGTGTCACATACACACACACACACACACGCACACACGCACACACACACACACACACACACACGCACACGCACACACACACACTTTAATTCCTCTCAGTCCCTGTTGCCACTCTGCCAATATCGCAGAAGGTCATCTGGAACGCCTTGGCGGTTATAAAGAAGTGATATTGAAGTTGAGTCCAGCAGAAAGTTCTCTAATCGCTGTAAGTCTTCTCGTGTGATAATTAAATGGAGGCTTTATGTCCTCGTGCTGTTAATGAGATATGATCTTAGTACAAGGTTGTGTTGTGCTCGGCTTCTTTTGTATTGATAGGTTGATAAAAGTGGATTATTTATTGCTCTTTGCTAAAGGCTTATTAATTAAATTGTTATCCTTGAGAGTCTGTAAGTACATAACCTGGATAAACAATGGTTATAGGGTAAGATATTTAAGTAAAAGATTAATCTTCCCCACTTATTAAAACCTAATTGTGTATATGGCATGTTTTGTTTACAAAATTCTGAAAAAATACATCTTATATCAAAAAAATTTACCAGTGCGAGGAACATATTTCTGCTGTAGTGTCTAGACACATTTGAGAGGTCTTACTTCATAATAATGTTGCTAGGCTACAAACAAACAATTCAGTACCATTGAATCAGAGTTATAGCAGCTTGCTTCTGCGGCATTTACTTATGGTGTGCGTGCTAGTGAGTGAGTGTGTGTGTGTGTGTGTGTGTGTCCGTGTCCATCACTGTCAACCTGTCTGCATGCAGTGAGGGCTGTGTGTGGGCGGCGGTGTGATACATGACCAAAGGCAGAGACAGGCTTGTGATCTCAAACAAACAGGTAGCAGAAAAAAGCACGCTGTCCCCGTCCTGATAAACATCCACATCCAGCTCCACAAAAGAAAGTCATTTAGCCTTTCTTCTTTGGTATATCCCTGTTTTTTCTGGTCGGCCTGAGACCTGATCCCCACGCTGAGAGCAGAGATAAGCGGAATAAAAGACAGGGACAGTAAGAGAGTGTGAAGTGAAGGCTGCTGGCAGGGAGAAATGTCAAGAGGAGGATTGGTTGGGATCGCAGGCAGCTGGAAGTTCAGGGAAAAGGCTGGTGATGCTGCTGCCCTGCACCTCGCCTGAAGGCACTGTGCCTTGACAAGCTGCTTACATGTTCCAGGCGGGTTTTCCAAAGAGCTGTCACTCAGCAGCAGCAGGATGTGTGGAGGTAGGAGAGCTCCGCTTGATTCCCATCAGACCTCAATCTCTGCAGCTCAGATGCATTTTGACAGAGATTCAGAGGGAATGAACGCACCTGAAGGCACGGGGTGGGAATGTGGAGCTTGAGAGAGTAAAATAAGTGGAGGTGATAAACTGGTGTCTTAATAGTACACAGGGAAATGTCACACAAGTGCACTTACTTATACAATCTTTTCTCCCAACTGTGAGAAAGACATTTGGAAAATCTAGCGATGCTGATATGTTAGTTTAGTCTTAGAAAGAAGAGAGTTTACTGTTGGCTGCTCTTCTTAGCTTGAGACTAGAAACTAGTGTTGCATTGTGGGGAATAGACCTGCATTGGTTCATTACCACCCTATTTGTTAAGTATGTGTTCATCCCAAATGTTGGGCCCTGGCTAGCAGCATGCAGTGGCAAGTAAAGCATCTTATTTCTCAGCATACGGGTGAAAACACGGTTCCCTCTGAGAGCCGTCACACAGAGGCCTGTCAACGGTGATATGTCAGCTTAGGTGTGAGGGCTGCCAGTGTTCCTCATGGGAAGTCTAGCATAAGGCAGTGAGTTAAAGATTTGTGGTGGGAGTACAGAGACATCAATCCCTCAAACTGTGTGTGTGCTGCAGAGAGAAACATCTAAATCGTCTGCTACTTGCTTTGCGATCGCCCCTGATTTTGGAGTGTAGCAGTAAATAGACATAGCTGAGATATTATAGAGGAGAGTGGACATGCTTTAGAGGGTTCTCCTTCATTAGGGACTCAAATAGGGCCATCTGACTGATTACATGCATGGGAGAGATGGCTTTAAGTCAAGGCCTCTACGCACCTGTAATCAGATTATATTGGAGCTGCATTTTAACCTCAATCACTGGTACATTAATTTGGAAACATCCGCGTAATTACCCCAAACAAACAGGCCCTCGCTGTCAGCTCTGATGTACGTTTGACTCACAGCTAAACTCATGTTACTGCATCATTTCAACGTTACTCTGTCAGATCGTGTATCTAGTCCTAGTTGTTTCACTGATATGTCGTTGTTGCTTTTCAAAGCTGATGCAAACAGTAGTGACACCCTCCCTGTTGTGGGGCGATTCAGAGGACTGGCATTGGGGAAAAAGAGGCCAAAAAGCTTCAGAAGCACTGAAATGTTATTGCAATAGTAATTTTGTTGGACAAACAGGCCTAAATATGACATTGCAGCTTTAGTGGCAAACCCAAAATGATATGTCCTGCTTTTCACTTCAAGCGGCCCCACATGCTCATTTTCAGGTTCATATTTGTATGTAGTGTCTCTACTGGGACATGTCTCCATGCTTTCATGTTCAAAAAGCTCTTTATTTCTCTCATACTGCCTGTGCTGCAGCACCTCTTTTCACCCTCTGTCTGAAACCAGAGCCTAGTCTGCTCTGATTGGTTAGCTGGCTGGCTCTGTTGTGATTAGTTAACCTCTGAGAGATGTCCCGCCCCTTTGCCTGTACAATTAGTTGGAGTGCTAGCCAATAGAAGCGTGACTGTTACATGGTGACAGTGTTGTAGTCAAGTCACCAATTCACGAGTCCAAGTCACTCTCGAGTCACCACTCTTCGAGTCCGAGTCCAAGTCAGCGTATGCGATAATTCACGAGTCCGAGTCCAAGTCATCGTGCGCGAGAATTCACGAGTCCAAGTCCGAGTCGCGTCAATCAGTGCGCGAGTCCGACTCGAGTCCATCTCTGCATGGTGATGTCATTATGGTCTACATGGAGTCTCATGGAGGCGTTTCAGGACGGCAGGGAGTGTGTGAAACTCCCTCTGGATGGCATGTTAGGATTTTTGTTAAACTGACACAATGGTTAGACGTGCATAAAGTGGTGTTTGGACAGATTATGTGTGTAGTTCTGATATAACTCATGCTGTCTTGTGATCTGGGCTCTGATCCCTGACTGGTTCCCCTCGGGTGTATTTATAGAGGCTCCATGAACACAAGCTGTGGTCTGTTCCACCTGGTTAACCCCTGGACACATAGCAAAGGTCAACATCTGATTTGTTTGTTAGCACCCCCCAATAACTGCACATGTGAAATGTGTGTGTTCTTTGTTATTGCTCTGATCACACCGTTCATATTATCTTGCAGCGTATTAGCCGTCTCTCTCTTTCTCTCGACGTGAGACTTAGTGTTGTTCAGTTCGGCTGCACAGACAGGAATCAGCCGGTTGCTATGGCATCATGAAGCGAGCGTTCCCACAGAATGAATTAAACTGTACGACAGAAACTGGTGATATTGATTTGAAACAGCAGCCCAAACTGTGAGCAGCGACGGGTGGCTGGTGAGGAAACACTCTGGCTGTTTCCTTGAGATCACACTGTTTGCAGTACACAATGTGAACAGATGTTTGCTCTTAAAAACAGAGGTGATTTACTTAGCTTACGTCTAATGAGCGGGAGGAAAGGAGACAAGTCTAGACGAGCACTAGACCAGAGGAGGTAGCTGCAAATAGACGGGAGCAACTCGTCTCTATGGAAACCAGAGGCGAAAACAGTGGCACACACTGCCATGAAAGACTTGTGGGAGACGAGGATGAAAGACGGGAGAAGGGAAAGTGGAAGGAGGGGTGAGGAGCAGAAAGAGGAGAGGATGAGAGGGAAAGATGGTGAGAATGATGTGTGTGTGTGGCAGCAGTAGATATCGATGCCCCCAGTGGGCATTAATGTCCCCGGGTTCATCTGTCTTTGAAAGAATTGATTTCATTTCACCGAGCTGACACAATATCCTCCCTCAAGACACTGTGGGGAGTAATGTCTCTCAAACAATGCCACTGATGACACAATGAGACATAGAAGGTAGCTCCAATTAGAATACTTATTTACCATCACGGCGGGTAATTATTGATAGGGATAACAGCTATTTTAGAGAAGGTTGGAAGGGCTTCACAGCAGGGATTGGTGGTCCAGGTGACGGTTAAGAAGTTGGTGTAATTGTAATGTACTTGATATGTGAGTTAGTTTCAGCCTGAAATGTTTTGTTCTTGTAACATTATTTAAAATCTAACTATGTCACTGTCACTTGGCAGGTAGTATTCCTCAATGCCTTATTGAAGAATCAAGGTGTTTAGCAATTTAACAAAACTATGAGTTTATTTGTGTATTTACCACATGCTATACTATGACTTTTAAGGTCAAAACATTTGTATTTTTTGGACTAAATAAGTGTGTAGTAAGGCTGTCCCGAATACCATTTTTCTGGCTTTGAATATTCGGGTACAGCCCTAGTGTGTCGAAACCAGGCGTGGCACAGTACGTCGTTAAAAATGACCAAAAAGTCATAATGTAGCATGGTATAAGGCACGGTACAGTGTGTGGAAACCAGGCGTGTTACAGTAGTTCATTTCTTAGTTGTAACAATGCTTCTTGGCAATTCATCTTATACCGTTGGAAAGGCTGTTTATTAACCTTTGAAATGGTGCTACATTTATGAGGAACATGCATTTGTGGGATGAGCAGCAGAGCTGAGTACACTGGAGGAAACAATATTTGATCCCTTGTTGATTTTTTAAGTTCACCGACTTGCACATAAATGAAAAGTCTATAATTGTAATGGTAGGTTTATTTTACTAATGAGAGAGACAGAATATCCCAAAAACAGTGTGTGTGTGTGTGTGTGTGTGTGTGTGTGTGTGTGTGTGTGTGTGTGTGTGTGTGTGTGTGTGTGTGTGTGTGTGTGTGTGTGTGTGTGTGTGTGTGTGTGTGTGTGTGTGTGTGTGTGTGTGTGTGTGTGTGTGTGTGTGTGTGTGTGTGTGTGTGTGTGTGTGTGTGTGTGTGTGTGTGTGTGTGTGTGTGTGTGTGTGTGTGTGTGTGTGTGTGTGTGTGTGTGTGTGTGTGTGTGTGTGTGTGTGTGTGTGTGTGTGTGTGTGTGTGTGTGTGTGTGTGTGTGGATGGATGGCTACACCACACACACACCTGCTGTGAGAGGAATGATTGACAGATAACACAATGGAGATGTGTGTGTGTGTCAGAAATAAAAAAGGAAATCACAAACATGTCTTACAGTAGTCATACTTTGAGTGTGTTGAAAAAATGTATAGTAATGCAAGTCCAAAATAGTAAGATAAGGTTGTTGGAAAAACAGGTCATAGAATAGCTTTTTAGAAAAGAAACACCTACCATAACAGCTGCACTGCGCTCGCCCTTTACAGACAGGTCGTGTTTCAGGATTTGTGGCTGTTGAAAAGAAACAGGATTGATTCAATAATGTGGACATCCACCCAGAATACCCCATATGCATTAATAATGGTCATTAATAAACCTCTGCCCTCGTTACATAATCACAACTTCAGCAACGGTCACCCCAGTGCTGACCAGTGTTCATTTTGGCAGCTATTTCAGATTTACTCTTTAGAAGAAAATGGTTATTACTTTGAGTCACATTTTAGTCCTTTTTATCCTTCATAGTTTTAGTCTCGTTTTAGCCAGCCACAACTCAAAACGTTTCAGTTCAGTTTTAGTCGATGAAAAATCAGTACATTTTAGTCAACTTTTAGTCCAAATGTTTTCTCTTTCAACTATTTCAGTTAGGCAAATACATGTATCTGAAATTGGAATTAAGGTGACAATATCAAGTGTTAACATTCGTAAAGCAACATTTCCCTCTTAACTCTTTACTTGTGAGTGACGTGTGCAGATTCCCAGAATCCCAACTAATTCAACCAATGACAGGGATGCATTTTGACGGACAATTGGGGGGGAAATATCCTGCATTTTCTATGTCAAATAGTCCACCATTAACACTTTCTCGTCAAGTAAAACAAAATATACATTTCGTCATAGTTTTTATTATCACATATCTATTCTTATCTCATCATCGTCTCGTCTTAGTCATGTACAAAAGGTCATTGACGAACATTTTTCATCATAGTTGTCGTTGACAAAATGAACACTGGTGCTGACCAGTTTCACTCATCATACTTACTGGTCTCCTCCCCAGGTATCACCACGGTGCTGACCATGACCACGCTGAGCACAGTGGCCAGGAACTCGCTGCCCAGAGTGTCCTACGTGACGGCCATGGACCTGTTCGTCACCGTCTGCTTCCTGTTCGTCTTCGCCGCCATGATCGAGTACGCCATGCTCAACTACTGCGCCTACAGTCTACGCAGACCTCCTGCCAAGACACAGAGAATGGTAACGGAAAGTGTGAGCAATATGTTGGAGCTTTCCATTTGCTGTATATCAGTTCCCACAGCTTCTCAAAACACATTGTATGTAGAGTGTGCATGTCTCATCTTATCTGGCATATCATGCACTCAGTGATGTAGCAAAAGGGACAGTGAAACAAGTGACTACAAGAATCCCAAAAACAACAGATACAAAGACATTTCAAACGCCTAGACATGTTCACTACAGAGACACACAAAATGTCCAGTCGTCTCTCCAGACACTGTGTTTCCCAAATATATTAGTAATGATCTCATTAGTTTAAAGACAGTAGGTTTATGGGTGTCATAGCAACCTTGGGAACCCAGACAATTAGTAGCATTGATTGTAAAAACAAGGGATCAAAGTTCAACCTTCATCCTCACGAGGTAATCACAAATAGGCACGTTTTCCCATTGAATTTAAGGGCCATGAAAATACTTCACACTGAATAAAGCTTTCAGAAACCATTTCCATTGACCACAACAACATATAAAGTGCACCATGCTTTCTTTGTGACATGGCCAGTTGAAACCATGTCTCCTGTTCAGAGCCGAATGTTCTGTGTGGGCGTCCTCAAGGCTGCACCTGCTGAGAACACTTTAATGGTGGCAAACATCCACCAGGACTGAGTCAGCCACCGTCACCACTCCACTTCCCCTCCATTTCCCCTCCATTATTCCCTCCCAAAACTGTACAGACTGTCATTGCAGGCAGAACAATCAAGTTGTGCTTCATTTGGTCCTCTGTATTTCTGCTGTATTTTGGCCTGCTCTGTCTGTGGGGAAGCCTCATGTTTCCCCCCCCTCCCCCCCTGCTGCTTTTATTTTATTTTTCCCACCCACTCAGTCAATGCTGTGCCTCCACATCTAGCTCTCTGTCTCTCTCACCTCCCACTCTTCCTCTCGCTGAGTAGTAGAGAGATGTTTGGAGATTTTACCCCAATTAGGTTGTCCCTCACAATGTCATAAACACCAGGGAGGAAGTCACATCGTGAACTTCTCTGGATGAACTTATTCCAGACTAAAGCTGCTAAATATGGCTTCAAACTAAATAATACTTCTTGTCATTATGTCTTTTGAAAGCTGTAGTTTCTCTTTCTATGACATATGTGTACGTTTTGGACTTCAGTATTACTAAAAAGACACATTTTCAAGAGTGAATCTGATTTTTACAACCCCATACATCACTCTCTGTTCTTGGAAAAGCATATCGATTAAAGAATGCTTTTTGCAGCGATGGACCCTTTTTGTCATTTGCTAAGTCCTAACAGCTGGTACATTTCTACATTTATATTCAACACAACAATACTTGGCATTGATGGAGTTTTTCAGCAATCTAAAACAGCAGTAATGAACATGTCAGGGCTTTGTGACCAGAATGCAATGCAGCAAACAAGCATATTGCATTTAGAGATATGCTGCTACAATCAGCTTTCTGTCATCCCACACAGGTCTACTCATCTTTCAACATGGGTCACGCGCCTCGCTCCATGATGCCCATGGGCAACTCTCTGTTCTGGCAGGAGTACGATGACAACTGCCTGTACGAGTGCCTCGACGGGAAGGACTGCAAGAGCTTCTTCTGCTGCTACGAGGAGTGTAAAGAAGGCGGCTGGAGGAAAGGACGAATCCACGTCAACATCGGGGAGCTGGACGCCTACTCTCGGGTTTTCTTCCCCACCTCCTTCCTGCTCTTCAACATAGTCTACTGGGTCAGCTACCTCTACCTCTAGTGGGTCTCGGGCTGCGACACGTTTTGGGCTCAAACCGCCACGGTCCACTTTGCACCGCGGCCCGAGATTTAAGGTCAAAACTAAGCGAGGAAATGGAGGAAAAAACGGTGGATTACGAAAGACAAGCCGCGAGATATACACGTGTGCTGTGGAGGCCATGATACTTTGAGCGATGGCACTCCGAGGAGATATAAACGCTCGACTGCAGATCAGCAAGCCGTCAGCATTAACTTGAATGGTCCCGTTTATGGCTCTCTCAGAAACCAGACGACAGACAGCTGTGGCTTCAGAGACGCGCGGGGACGGGGTGCGTTGCTCCGTCTCGGTCATCGAGATGGCGAAGCACCCATAGTGCCTTCTTTAGAAAGGGTGCGGCACCCAGAGACCCTGCTTCAAAGCTCATTATCTTTAGGCAGCGGAGGTTGAAGGGATGGCTTTGGCATTACAAAAGAAACCCCTTTGCTACAGGTGGCAGAAATCAATCTCAATAAATAACACTTGCTGTAAATTGGCTTCTCGGCGTCCTCATCTTGAGCACTGGAGGAAATGGATGGCATTTCTATGATAAAACAAAAAGGGAAATGGGACGTATTAGAGGGTATTTCACCAAATACACTCAATCAATTAAACTAATACTGGTAGATGAACAGCAGTAGGTTGGGCTAAAATGTCATGAAGTGTTGCAAAGTGACGTTTTGTTCCTCTCTCGCCTTAGCCACCCTTCAATCGTCGCTGTTTGAACCCCTATAACCTCACACACCACCCGCCGCATGCTGAGCTGTCTATTCTTTGATGAACCTGGAACACCACTGGAGATGTTTAAAACTAACACTCACTTTTAGTTAACCCTTAGAATTAGTTTCTTAGAATAGCAAACTTTTTCTTCTTCTTATAATTATCATTATAATTCAAATGAGTTGTATTTTCCACACCTAGCTCAGCCATCACCTGTTCATCGTTGAATATGAGTTGGTGGTTGTCTGGTGAGCTTGTGTTCATGATGCTTTATGAGACAGCCATGCAGTTTACAGTAGATGCCAAGAAGATTTGTGTGTTTTATAAGAAATGCTGGGTTACATTCTTACACAATGTAGAAGTAAATACATACCAATCTAATACTTAACATGCTAATCTCATACACAGGCATGAAATGTATGTTACAGTATATGAATAAACAGATTATGGTTAGAGCAGTGCCGGTTTCCTTCAGACAACAGATATAGGACAACACTTTTCCTTATTTGCATACACAATGATGTGGTATTATTATCAGCGAGGCCTCTGGATAACCTTAGTTCAAAGGGAAAATTCAAAAAAAAAATTATCATAAATTCTCAATTAGTAGCCAGAACCTTTTTGCCTCGGGGGCAGAAGCTTTTATTTAGGGGTTAACACCTCCATAAGAGACTTGAAAGTGAAGTGAAGTTTCCCCGTGAATTGACCCAAATGCTACACGTTCTTTATAAAGTCCATTCCCACAGTCACTTTGGCCTGTTCCCAAATTAAGCTCAACTCCACATAAATTATTTTGACATTGAAATTGTTGCAGCCGTGTTGGTTTATGGGTAAAAGCCACCCAGCAGGACCTCTAAAGTTTGACACAGTTACTTCTGCTGGTTGAATGAAACCAAATGAAACTGTCCCACTTTGGACTTCACATTAAACCAAGAGATATGTTACTCAGTGAGCTTTACAAGGCACACTGTTACCCACGAACAGCTGTATCTGGCTTCATATTCTGCTTTAAGTGAACTTAGTACATAACAAATGTAGAACTTTTCCAATAGGCCATATAAATCCTAAAGCACATACAAACTGTACATGACGTATTGGTGTTTCATTACAGTTTCAGACGTAGAGCTTGAGTGCCTAACGTTTGGAGTATTCCTGAGAGCTTCATGGATCACAGGTGCTGTAAAATGACTTCTATATATGGTGATACTTCATGCTGTACACACAGTGGCAAATGGACGTCCCACACCCCCTCCTCTAACATGCAAAACGGATGCTACACTTGGAGGTACGCGAACACCACAGGGACGGTAAACGGCTCTTGAAGCGTTCTGGTTTTGTTTACTGTTCTTTGGTGTTTTTTGCAGTCGTTTGGCTTTGTAGAACAATGAAACCCCACTTTTCCCTTCCCCCCCAACACACACACACACACACTTTTCCCCCGGTATTTATATGTTGAGAGAAAAGCTTTTATGTAAGATGTATCTAATTAATGTTTCTATTTTCATACAGTTATATATGGAATGTAAGTTAGGCCAGTAGCGAGGCCGGAGTCAATCTGGTTCCAGTTCAGTCAGTTCAAGCAGCCTGAATGAGCTCATATTTAGGGGTCCTATATATTCATGAGGCCGGCAGACATATGTGTGGCCTGTCTAAAAGTTTGTTAGAACAATAGCGTGCTGCAGGGATGACATACTTGGAAAATTAACAACAATGGCATTGCTCCAGATTTATTCAGAAAATAAGCTCTGCGGTAAACAAATACTCATTCCTGTGTTTTAGGAATACTCTATAGATTAGCTCATAACAGACAGTGTAGTTGCATTAGTAATTGATATCTATGTATCTTATGAACTGGCTGAATTGAACACAGCTTGGCCCACACCACAGTAAAGTGTCCTCACCTCTGATATTTCTACTACACTTTATAAGTGTCTTAGTCCGTTGAGATACTTCAATAAAACAAAATCACTATTTTCTACGTCTTAATGAAAATCACCTGTGTGTTTCAGCTGTATTTATAAAGCCTCTTTACAATCAGAGTACTAACCCATGATCAGAGCATCATTTACTCGCTGAAAGCCTCTTCCGGAGACCTCCCCACCCCCATTAAAGCGTGCCGGCTCCTGTATAAAGCAGAGCGTCGGCCACACATCATGCATCTGTTACATCACCCCCGCTTCATCCTGCCCACCAATTTAGTTTTGATTGTCAGCGAGGTCTCTGGGGACACGGCTGTATGAAAGGGACGCCACTCTGACTCTGGATCAGCACTCCTTCGGGGGTAATATTTTATGAAAACAGGATCTAGAGTGAAAATAGGTATCTTTTTTCTAGTGTGTGGTACATTGCTTATATTAATAAATAACGTTTTGGTCAAGTGCTACTGTGAAGTCTTTTTCTTGTAGAATGAAAGTCTTCCAGATATATGAAATAAGTTGGGGGAAAGCCACTGGAGAATCTCCTCCATGTAGTCTTTCTTTTGGACCAATTTAAACATCTCTCTCTTAAAGCTGCTGTTCACATGCAAATACTGTATGTGACTGCTATGTGTTCAAGACATTAATGCAACATTTATGATTATAATGGCAGTATTATGTGCTGAAACTGCTAGGATTTCATGCTGATGTGTATATAAGTAAACAAACCCTAACCCCATTTAAGATGATTTGTCGAGCTCAAAATCACAAATGTGCCTGTAAAGGTTTTACAGTCTTTCCAACGCCCTCTATCCTTAAAGCCTCTGAGACCATTTGCCACAAACAACACATCAACAGCCGGTGGATTAGAGTTCAAAATCACAAGAGGGATCTACAATCTGTACGACATAACATCCAGATTGAAATAACACACCAATAAAAAATCACTTCAAAAACGCCATGAAGAGCAAGTGATAGACGTACTCAGGTGTTTTGCTTAAGTAGTAATACAACAGTCTGGAAATAGTCTGTGAGCTTTAAAATGTTACTTAATATTAAATCAATATTAGGTATGAAAGAAATGTTATACATTGTCACTCAAATGCTATATCTGTACACAGCGTTATACAGTTAGAGGAACTCACATCTCCCTAAAAATGATCCCTAACCCTTTCACTTGTTCCAACCCCAGCTGGTATCATCTTTGAACTTCAACTCATTTGTTCAGAATATGGCCAGTGCACATTCATTGCTTTCATTAGTCAACACAAGCTAATTCAATGTCCTGATGGGCGAGTTGACAAATCAGGCGTTCCATAAACAATGGAGTGAGTAACAAAAGTCCTCAGGCGTGTCTGTAACAATGATACGACTAATATCCAGCGACAGATGCACGAGCAAGTCACTGCTTCGCCCTCACTTTGTTGACCTAGATCGAAGCGAGCGGCATGAACACAGTGCGAGCGAGAGACAGACAGATAAGTGGAGTCAGAGGGTGGGAGTAACAGAGCTGCAGCGCAACGCAAACTGCAACAAGATCTGCCTCCTACGCAGGAGAGAGCAGCAGGCTCACAGGGATGTGGAGAGAGGAGCACCAATGCAGGGGGAACAAAGTGTGTGTGTGTGTGTGTGTGTGTCGATACAGTGTGCTCATGCTTTTTTGCCTGAGCAGGGGGCTTTTTGCGTGGGTGCATGTATACACTCATAGCTGTGAGTATGTTAGGGATGCACAACATTTGTCTGTGCATGTTCTTAGGGTGAGAGTATTATTATTCTAACCTAAGACATGCAGAAGAGCAGTATTTGTTCATCCCTGAGGAAACAGTTCCAAAAAGGATAGGGCAGATAAAAGGTTGAGGTAAAAGGATTAAGCATGTTATAACTATCTGTGATATGCCTTGTTGAAAGCATACACCCTGTTGGGAGTTTCTGGACGTGTTTCAGTGCCTGTTTCCGCTGAGGTGTCACAGTCTCTGATAATGCAGGGCTGTCAGGTGTTGTTATGCTTCCTCAGGCAGCGTCATCTTGGGAAATGCTGTCTGCAAAAAGCTGATAGCATTCCCAAATATTTCACTCACATGTCTCAAATGGTGAGTTTCCTTGGTGTTTTTCAATACAGCTGAATTGTTTTCCTATAATCAGTCACATCCAGCTGACATGCAGCAGGAGGAGTGTTGTGTTTCAGCTACTTGATAAATGTTTGGCCAATATTTACTCCGGTGCTCGCTTTGTTTTGGTCTCCTAACTTCTCTCCAGGGAAATATCTGGCTGTTTAGCCGCTGGATGCTCCTCTCTCCTGAACACTGGGTTTGTTTGCGGTGGGTTTCCTTACCTTAAATGTTGTTGGGTCACAGAGGCACGTGAAGAATCTGCTCAGCGCTGAGAAAGGTCCCACCATCTCTGGTTTCTGGGATAAAAAAACAGACAAAGAAAACCTTTCATTCAGATATTTGTTTCTGGAAGTTAGCACACATTCTAGTCAAGGTTAGTTTGCTTTAGCTTTTATCAAAATCCAACTCCTACACTTGTATCATAACTTCTAAAGCAGCCTGCGTTTGATAAACACTCCGATTCAATAACATCTGACTTTCATGAAGCTCAGGGTTGGAGATGTGAGGTTTAAACTAAGATGACTAAACTATTATTTATCTGCAGGCAGTCTGATGTTGACTTTTCTCCTTCATTTGTATTCCTCTCTTTCACAGACTTTTCTGAGGGATCAAGTGTATTCACAAAGCCATATTCACTTTTCTCCTATACATAAAGTGAGAGTTCAGCAGATTTTGTGTCTGGAATTAGCTGGAAATGTTGCTTTAAATGTACACTTTTGCTCAATGTTGACACAATGCTAACACATCAGTCTCTTATTATTATTTTCTTAGAACGAAGCACAACAATTTGGTGGGAAAGGACTGCTTCACTGTCACTAACAAATCTCTGCTGGCTGCACAAATGAATGATGGAGGGATACGATCCACCTGCATGATAATGGGAAAGATTGGGCAGGGGTCATTATCAGTTTGAACCATCTGATGTGAGTCCCCTGCAGCAGCAACAGCATGAAAATAATACGAAATCAATCTGAAAATGAAGCCATACGCCGATTTCAGGAGGTCTGACTCTGCAGCTTATTTCCAATATGATCAATCAGAACCATATGAGTTATACTCTGAAATAAGTGAGTCCTTTGTGGACAGTCATGCAACACTGCATAGTGATGGAGTCCTGATCAGTGACGGTAACCAAGCAATTCAACAAGATAGTGACACGACCTGTTCAGAATATGTAAAGATATATATATTAAGGCTGCAGCTACAGGTGCTTGACAGGATTCATAGATATGAGGACACTGAGGTCATGTCTTCTGTATATTTGGTGTGACATGTCAAACTAATGGGAGTTCAATTACATATTTAACCAAACTGAAATATATTTGGTATTATAATCACTGACTGTACTTTTTAATATTATGTTTAAATTCTTTAACACCAATAGATAATAAATGCTTCAGTGTTTCCAAGCCACAATTATATTCCTAAAGAGTAAAAGATAGGCTTTGAATTAAAGTTTTGGGAAATGAAATATAATAAAAGGACATCAAATTAAACTGAACTCAATCAAGAAATTATGAAAAAAGGGTGTCGAAAAAGCCGGGATTTGAGACTTCAGTATTTCTACAGTTCTGACAATGTACTGCTTCAAAATGTCCTATAATATAAAATATTAAAAGTATCCGTCTGAAAGTTATTCCTTTGACTTGACTGCTGCAGTTTTAAATATTCATAAGTAACAAGTTGCTTCCTTGGACATAAATTGGTGGGATTGCAAAATGCTGCTTCCTTCTCCAGAGTGACGTTGTACTGTGACATTAAAGAAAGCTCAGCTATTCAAACAAATAAAACCCAACCATTTCAGCCTGAACAACATCTGCTCTTCAACGTACTCATCTTTATCGACCGATGCCACAAATTGCTGCATAGTTTTCTACATGAGTGCTTGTGGTTGCGCTCTCTTGTGTCTGCCAGTGTTAATGGACACTTCACAGCCATTTAGTGACAACGTGAAGCCTGACGTTCGTCAAATAGCTTTTTAATAACGATCGGTAAACAACTTGAGACATGAGAGTGGGGATGATCAAATTAAAAGGATCCAGATGAAAGCATCAGGAATATTGTCAGTTATTAATCTGACTTCTCTGAATCGGCCCAATTATTGAGTTATCATCGCTGTCTGCTTCTAAAACAGTCAAATCAAAGCTAGGTGCTGCCTGAGGGCTAATAACACACACAATGTTGCTTCAAAGAACACTTTGAACTGGGCACAAAACACAGCTTTGTTAACTGAGGGTAAACGTGAAAGTCAAAGTGAAAGACAGCCCTCTCTAAAGTTACCATTGATGTGATCAGGCGGTTAACCTCCAGCTGTGTGCAACTATTACGGTGTTCGTGATTCAGGGATCAACACTCACTCCCTGCCTGTCTAAATAAAGCAATCTGATATTCCAAGGAGTTTAAAAATGAAAACTGAGTATGTCGGTTTCATTACGGCTGCAAATTGGATAGTGGAATGGAGGCATGTGCCGAATGCACAAACAGATCTCCGACAACTCGCAACCAGCACAACATTTGGGCCTCATCTCGGGGCTTTCATTAATGGAAACTCGGGGGAAATCTGCATGCTGGCCGGGTTTGTCTGACTCTCAGCCTTATGCAGAAATGTTTACAACGCAGAGAGAGAGAAAGACAGAGAGTGTCGGGCCTCGTCTCACAATGCCCACCACTGACGACTTCATTACAGATGCATCCTGTTTCTGTCTGGGTGCCTAAAGTAACACATTGGAGCTCAGGGGAAATCTGACTAAAATAGTTTCGCAGTTACTTCATCTTTCCGAGGGGAAATCTTCAGATCAGAACAGAAATCTGACGGGATCCACTGCAAACTCAATTTATGTATTCGTTACAATCTTTACCATCACAACTGCATCACAATTGGAATACAAACTAAAAGACAGTTGGATTTGCCACACTGTTATTTTCTAGTTTCTTCTGTGCTGCACACGTAAGATTCATAAGAATACAACATCCACTCTGTCTTTATATAATGTATTCAAAGCTCCTAGGACTAACATGCACAACTGTCCCCATTAGCTTCACTCTGGGGGATGCCAACATGAAGTTATGCCTTTCCTACCCTGTATTAAAAAATGGGCTGAAAGAGAGGAAATAAACAAAACATATTATGTAAATTCCCCCCAAAATAAGGTATTTTAAGGCCAACAGTCCTCAGTTAGATCTCCTGGTTCACACTAAACCTTGGCTCAGGGGAAATCCTCTGACCATCACCCTCATTACAGGGAGTGATTAAGAGGAATGAGCAGCCGTCGTGCACACATCTGTGACGGCTCTGTTAGCCTGTTTGGC